CTAAGCAAGAGTCAGACTTACGCTAAGCTGAAGTTAAATCAGCCACAGTTTCTTTTTCTAACGGTAGCCAAGTAAATGTGATTTTTGCCATTATTAGTAAAAGGCTGAGGGCTTTGCACTGGCCTGACAGTGCAGGATCTCACAACTTCTCTGGGTTTATCTTGGCCTAAGCCGATTTTGCCTTTTTTTTAGCAGGAAGAGCAATTGTCTAGCCATCAGGTTTGGTTTAAGTTAGCTTTAGTGCGTTGAAACAACATGCAGTTATTTTTTTAGATTGAATTATCTGTTATCTTAGAATAAAATGTGATTTGCAAGGATCTAAACATGGGATGGCACCAGAGGTGCCAGGCTATAAACAGAAATGACAACGGTCATTACAGGGGTTTATTTTTTCAAACCAGTTTAGATAGAAGAGAACAGAACAGAAAACGGAATAATCGCGAATCAATGAAGAGAAAGCTCCTGTACACAGCCTGTCTTAAGAAAATATATAAAAATAAAACCTAGCAGTCCTCAAGACTGAGGAGGAAAGGACTTCCACCACTAGCATCAGCCTCTTCCCAGGGAATGACTTGGGATGCCAGTGTGTTGGTGACACCCTCTGCAACATCTCTGCTTGAGGAAACGTGGTGCTGTCAACCTGAGGACCCAAGGGACACTGAAAGAGGGAGCATGATGCACATGAGATAATTTGACTTAGCTGGAAGACGAGTGTGATGCTTCTGTCTGTTTTTGTTTGGGGGGGTTGTTTTTTTAGGTGGGCACTGCATAAACTTGGAGCAGCAAGTTCCTTCTCTATGACTAGACACAATTTTATACTAATGTAAGACATAAATAGCTATAGTGACTTCACATTCCTTAGCCAACCTTTTGGTATTGACATGTAGCCAACCGCTGTAGCACAAATTCTTAATTAGTATGTTTATCCTGTATGCTAAAGCTGGTTGACATTCACTGCATATATACTGATACATGCAGCAAGTCTGTATTCTTCAGTAAAAGGGGTTTAAAAAAAGAACTATCTGGACTTTCTGGATGCTTACCAAGACAAGCTGAAAAGAAACATGGAAGTCTATGAATCAAGGTTATCTCACTTGCATTCTTTCTGTTATCTCTTTCTAGTTAACAGCAGACAGTTTTAAGAAACCATTCTGGAGACAGTTTTAAGAAAATATCCTAAACTTCCCCGCTGCTTGGCCGTAAAAACTGTAGGAGAGAGGGGAAAAGTACTGTTTCCTCTTAACATTCACAATAAGGAAAATTATTTTAGGGCAAATGAGAAGACATTTCCAGAGACTAGAGTATCACCTATGAAAAGAGCTTATTCTTGCAAAGAATTTTATAAAAGTACTAGCACAGAAAAAATCTGTTACTTACTGGAATGATGCTCAGCTTACCTCTCTTTTAAAAGAAAAACGTCAAGCTGTTTTGGTCAAATAATCTTCATATTGTGACCTCCTATTCTGCTAGAGCTGTAGTCTGAAACTCTGATTTTAAATTTTGGACTTTTAACTTGATTTCATCAAGCTAAAGCTCCCACAGACCCACAAGAATCTTTCCTTAGGTTTTAAACAGTGTTAGCAATATCACTTTTGCTGGCAGAGAAAAATCAGCTGCTTCCAACACCCTAGGGAACCCAGCATACTGTGATCCCAGGACAGTATTAATTAGCATCAGATATTTTCGCTATCATATTACATTCCTCAGTCATTTCTCCAATGTAGCAGGTCTCTGCCTTTTTACAGCCTTGAGTCGTATTACAGTGAATACAGTTTCAGGATCTTGTTTTGTAAAGCAGAAGAATAGTTTTGTACCAACCAGGACTTAGTTATGCATCCAATTCTTTCTTAAAATGTGTTTACCGTTTCTTAATACTCTATTTTAATTTCTTAAGCCAAATAAATCAATGTTGACTTTGAATTGGGCCAGTAACAAATTACAAATGATTTTAAAATGATTAAAAGAATTTAAACCAGAAAAAAAATCAGTTTCTATAAACTATAGTCACAATTGCAGTACAGGTTACAAAAAAGCATTTTCAGAGCTCCGATCTTCAGAATGGAAGAAGTTTGCATGAGCTGCAAGCCAGCATTTATAAAAATAAAACCTATTCTTTCCAACTCAACAATATCTTTTAAGCACATACCTGTTACAAATAGAGAAATGTAATACTCCAAATCAAAATTAGGCTTACTTCCAGTGAAACACTGATCCCAGTGGAGCAGGAATGTTTTTTTGCCTCTTATTTAGGAAAGACCTTACATACCTTTAAATGTTTTCTTGAAGAGTGATATTTTGCCCAACCAAGGCTCTTGTTAGGCAACAGTTCTCATAAAGAGACCAGTGTGTAAATGTTATTATTGTCTTGAAGAATTCAGAGGCCCTAACACTCTGTTGGAAGAGATCCCTCTTTGCAGCTCTTCACTGGAGCTGAGGATCAAGTGAAGAAGGGCTACTGCAAATATAGAGAGTAAGCACAGGGATTTCAAAGCAACTTTCAGGCATTAGTACTACAGCATCCACCTACATTAAAGAACCATTAACTTCAAATGGTTATGCCATCAAAATCACATCTCCAAGAGCTGTATTTTTATTTAATTATTTTTACTCCTGTTCATAAGGTACTTAAACACCTCTTCCCATGCATGATGTCTTGCCATTTAAACTATATCCTAGGCGTCAGCTGGTACAGCTTAGCTGAAAATTAATAATAATAATAATAATCATCGTTAATAATAATAATAATAATTCAGGTCATTTCTGCTAGATCTGGTTCTATTCAATATTTTCATTCATTTCATTTTCATTCATGGACGATGAAGTAGCGAGTACGCTTAACAGATCTGCAGATAATACAACCCTAGAAGAACTGCAAGCGTTTTAGAGGGCAAGATTAGAATATAAAATGATCTCGGCAAATTGCAGGACAGGTCCACAATCCAAACAATCCAATTCAATAATGACAAATTCAAACTTATAAAATACAAGTTGGTGCGCAGATGCAAGGTCAGAAATAACTGGCAAGGCAACAGGATTGTGGAAAAGGATTTGGTTCTCATTGCGGCCCTCAATCTAAAAATAGACTCACTTGGCCTGCTGAGTTTTACCTGTATTTCCCCAATGAACAGAGTTACAGCTGTAGTACGGAAGTACACTGTTTTCCTGTGGTGGGATTAAAATAATAGCAAAAGCTTCAGTCTTGTGTCAAACTGAAACATTTGAGGAGACATGGGCTCAGTCTGTACTGTAAAAACTGTTTTCTGGGCTCCTGAACACATTTGAGTGAGAACTGTGGCTCAAAAGTGTGTAAGACTTGAAAACGGTACACAGTGTAGTATATTAGGCTTATCAAACCCAGCCATTAGAGATATACTTGCATTTTTAAGAACAACATACATTTTATAATAAACATTAAGCATTCCAAATGCTCCAGACTTTGTTTTGGATCCACCAGATGCCCTCGGCTTTCTGCCTTCCCACCAATAAAGTTGCCTGAGGTCACCCAAACCAGATTCCTCCCCTAGGTGCAAATGCTGGAGCAGACCCAGAGTCACCCACCTGAAGCCCGACGCTCCCGAGGCCAGCGCACAGTCGCTCACCCTCTCTTTGTACCTTTGCCACCTGCCCTGGTCATGCTAACAGGGGCTCGTACCAAGATCTTGCAGTCTTGCCAAGGACGATAAGCGGGCAACCTGAAGTCAGCCTCGAAGCGGCTCATGTTAGTTAAGATCTTTCCTGTCTGGTGGTGTTGCTGGCCCCTTTCCTTAGGGACAGGAATGAGGCAGAACGGCACTTGACGTACCAAAAGCCTGGACAGTGCCAAGGAGAAGAATCTCCTGGCAGTACAATGCACCTAATAGGGAGGCACTCACCTAAGGCTAAGACTCACCTAACCTGATTTTGCCTCATGCTTCACACATACCTTGCAGGCATGGGTGTCTTCTTCCTTTGTAGCACGGCCAGGGCTGGAGCCACCTCATGACCTTCCTGTTTTAAAAACACCCCTGTGAAGGTACACTCCTCATAATGGCATAATGGCTTTTTTTTTTTTTTTTTGCTTTTTCTACAAAGTGAAAACGGCATTACTGATTGCCGACAACACGTCATCATTCATTAACGCGTGATCCCAAACACGAAGGCGGCCGTTTACAAGCGGGACGAGAAGTCCCTGAAGCTAGATTACAGGATGTGAAGCGATGCTAGCAACAGAGCCTCTTGGACTGGAATAATTCCCGTTTCTTGGCCTGGCGGCTCCCACCGACGCTTCAACGGCACAGCGCGCCCCCCACGCCTGCGTGCGCCCATCTGGCGGCGCCACACGGCGGCGCC